AAAAAAAAAAAAAAAAAAAAAAATTAGCCGGGCATGGTGGTGCATGCCTGTAGCCCCAGCTACTCAGGAGGCTGAGGCAGAAGGATTGCCTGAACCTGGAGGTCGAGGCTGCGGTGAGCCATAATCATGCCACTGCACTCCAGCTTGGGTGACAGAGTGAGACCCCGCCTCAAAAAATAAAAACAATAATACCGGGCTGGGCTTGGTGGCTCAGCCTGTAATCCCAGCACTTTGAAAGGCCGAGGTGAGTGGATTGCCTGAGCCCGCGGGTTCAAGACCAGCCCGGGCAACTTGGCAAGACCTCGTCTCTACAATAAAAAAAATAGCCAAGTGGAAGCGTACGCCTGTAGTTCCGGCTACTTGGAAGGCTGAGGCAGAAGGATCGCTGGAGCCCAGAAGTTCGACGCTGGGGTGGCCGTGAGCATGAGTACCACTGCACTCCAGCCTGGGCGAAGGAGTGAGACTCCAACTCAAAAAAAAAACAAAACGCCATTTGCTAAGCGATATACATTTACATTAGGTTGAAACTTCCCTATAGGATGGAGTTTTACAAAGAAGGAAACACAGGCTGGAAGGATTTCATCACAGTTAGTAAGCAGGAGAGCTGGGATTTCAACCCAAGCTGTCCAGCTCCTGGGCACTCCTGTTCAGCTACTCCGGGACCAGGCTCCTGCACTCACCTTGGGAGAGGTGATCTTGATGTAAACAATGATGGGGGCCAGCGAGGTCTTGGACAGCTGGGCTGGGTGGTTGATGGTGTCCGCATCCAGAGCGACCAACTGGAGGGTCCGGGCCAGCTCGAAGATTCGCTCAATCTCACTCTGCACCTCAGCTGGGTAGGGGCCATGGGGGGGGATGTCAGGTGGCCCCCCAGGAGGTGGTGGGTGGGGGAACACTTCTGGAGAGGGTCCTGCCGCTGCCCCCCACCCCTCCCTTACCTGGCCCAGAAAGTGGGAGGGAAGAGGGCAGGGTGGGCTCACCCAGGCTGGAGCGCGTGTTGGAGCGCTCGATGATGATGTGCTTGCTGGGGTTGTTGAGGACTGAGCGCTTAGCCAGGGAAATGTCCGCTGTCACACGAGTGATGGAGATCCTGGGGGGATGGGGCGGGGAGGGCATCCGGGAGACAGAGGGGCCGGGGTGACTGGCTGCAGGCCTGCCTCCTGTCCCTCAGTTGAGGAGTCCCAGAACACCCACGGCAGCAGGGCCACAGTGGGAGTGGGGAGCAGCCCCCAGGGTCTTACCTGCCATCAAACCGATGCTTCAAGAAGTCGAATAAAGCTTTCTGCATCATGTCTGTAACCTGGGGATGAGGTGTGCAGGGAGAGAGGGAGAGGGAGTCAGGCACTCAAGGCCACTAGGGAGGCTGGGATGCTGGGCGTGTTTTCCTTTCTTCTGAATTTCCCAAGACGAATGCAGACAGAAATTCCTCTATGGGGGTGGGGGCCCCTTCTGAGTCTACAGGCCCTCCAATGGTCTCTGATTCCAAAGGTCCTTCCTTGGTGGTACCTCTGGGAGAGTTCTTCTGGGGGTTTCTTGGGGGGGGAGAAAGGAGCTAGGACCTGCTGGTGGGTCTCCCCGTGGGTTGGGCACCTCTGGGGGTTTATTCTCTGAAGGTCTGCAGCCCTCTGGGAAGGACACCCTAGGGATCAGGGGCTTTCTGGGGATTTCTCTGGGGTCTGAAGACTTTTCCATGAGATCTCCCTGAGAGTCCGGGCACTCTGGATCCACTCCCCTCTAGGGGCTCCTACCTCGTAGCCCTTGAGCGACGGTCCCACCAGGATGATGGGCCTCATGGAAGGCACCACGTCATAGGGGGGCACATGCTCTGTCTGGGGGGGGAAGCAGGGAGGGGAAGCCCCGAGTGGAGATGGCATTACTCCTCTCCCCCAGCCTCCCGGCTCCCCCATGCAGCCTTTCCTCCCCCCGGTCCCAGAGCCCAGAGCCCAGATGCGGGGATCGGGGTTGGGGGTGGGGAGGGATGGCCAGGAAGAACCAGGAAGGGTGGGGGAAGATATGGGAACAGGTGTTAGAAGGTTCCCCTAGCTCATCCCAGGGAGTGGGGAGGGGAACACAGAAAGCTGTGACACTCACCGACTTCTGCTTCTGTTTGGCTGGGTCCAGAGATTGCCAAGGGGGGGAAGGGGTGGAGAGAGGGAAGGGGACCCAGGTGGGGGCAGAGGGCAAGGCAGGAGCCAGGACAAGAGAGGGAGGGAGAGCGGGCAGACGAGGAGAGATAACAGGGCATGCGTGTTAGTGACAGACAGAGCCAGAGAGAGGGGATGGGACCCCACACCGAGGAGGAGCCAGAGGTGGCCCTGGCCCTGGGCTGGGAGCAGTACTGACAGTCAGTTCAGGGACTTGGGAATGCTGAGACACATCCTACCCCTTCTGGATCCCAGAAGAGCTGGACAAGTGCCCCTAATCTGGTACCCATCTCCTGCCCCAGTGCATGCCAACCTGCCCATCTTACGGGTTCCCTTAACTATCTTGCTCTGTGGTCAGTAGGAGCGCCCCCCCCACCATGTGCCTAGCCGTGGGGTCAAAAAAGGGCAAAGAAAAAATGCCACCCCACACCCTGTCTCACATGTCAGGTGGGGGCCCACACCAGATCAGCCCACCAGTAGCGAGGGGCAAGGCCAGGTGTTATTACCACCAGCTCCTGCTCCCTCGGGGTGGAGAGGCAGCCTTCCAAGGGTAAGGACCATCCTCTCTGGGGGTGGGCCAGGGTGGGGTTGTGTGTGGAGATGGACGTGCCCACGCACCTCAGCAGGAAGCCCTGATGCCCGCAGAATAGGCTGGTGCCACTCTGACATCCATCCCGGCCCCCTCCCCCAACAAAGAGCTGGCCCTGAGGCCCCCGCCTCTCCCAAGAAGCCAGCAAGAATTACCTTCTTAAAGAAGGGGATGCGTTTGCCGTGGGGTGGCGGGGTGGTGACGCTGCTAACGCTAGTCTTGGCAGAGCCACTCTGCTCCCCAAGCTGGGTCTCCTCCTCCTCTAACTCTAGGGGGTCTAGTTCAAAGGCTAAGTTAGTCATTTCATTACCTGGACCGGAGAGTCAGGAGAGGGAGGAGGGAGGCGAGGTGGGGAGTAGGAGTGAGATGGACGTGGAGACAGAACGCAGGGGTGGGATGGGAGAGAAGAAAGAAGAAGAGGTGAATGGAACAGGGCTGGAGAATGAATGGGGCGGGGCAGGCAGAGAAAGGGAGCTACCAAGAAGGGAGAGGAGAGACAGGCAGGCCCAGCCTGGGGAGACCCTACTCTTTGTGGAGGGGGCACCACTGCATGTGTCTGGGGGACTCAGCATTGGGGTGCCTCCCACTGCAGGGAAAGGAAGGGTCAGGTAGAGGGAGACCACCCCACCTAGGAGCTCCCCCCACCCCCTGGGGGGCAGTAGCTCTTACCACTGGCGGGGGGCGTGG